TGAAAAAGCACAACCTATCCAGTACTTGCTTTAATCCATTAATCACCCTGTAACTCAAGTTCTAAAAATAAAATCGAGTGTAACTTTTCTGAAATGGGTTCTCTTTAGGATTTTTTTTTTTTTTTTTAGAAGTCTCTCTCATGCAGATGCATCAAAATATTTGTTAGTGTAAAATTAACATACATTACTATTAAAAGTAACCCTTGAATTCCTAATTAGAAACTGATTTTCCAAGCACTTTTCTAGCGTCAATGGCTGTGAAGGAATTTTATCTCTACGCAGTTAATTGCCACATCATCCAGTCCATTTACCATCTCTGTCATTTTTATTACCCATCTATAAAGGTTTCATATTTATATGAATGATTAATGTTGGTTTTGTAAGTAAAGTAAGTTGTAATCTACATCCAGATTTGGGGAAGGGGACTGGGCTACCTATGTTTGGTACTTAAATAACACGAGTGATGAACATATCTTGGTTTTGCATTTATGGGAGGGGATATTAGCACAAATAAAATGAAAGGAATTGTGGATTTTCTAGCCTATTTATTAGAGGGTGTGAGAGGTGAAGAGCAGCAAGCACACTCACTCTATTATATTCATTTCTTATTTCCAAAAGTTATTGTAGTAACCATGAACCTCCATCCAGGTTACAACTGCACAATAACCAGTACTCCAAACAATTGTACAATTCTGAATAATTTGATGATGGTTGACCAAGTAATTCAAGTTTAGATCCAATTGTAATATTTTTTTTTTTAATTGCAAGTTTTTGGAATATCAATTGGAACCTGAAATGTATTAAAACAAATTTTGAGGGATCTTTATTTTTATTGTTTCTCCATTGGCAGGCAATACTGCTCAAGGTACTTTTTTCCTCTGGATGCACTATTGACTTTGTGAAAATGGTTGTTAAAAATGCACTACTTAATTATATAGTATATCCATTTAAGACACTAAATGTTGGATATAGGAATAGTGACATATATATATATATATATATATATATATATATATATATATATATAAACATATATATAAATATAGTCTTGAAAAAAGTCTTTACAGACTGAAACGTCGACCTATTTGATGTGTATTCCTGTTATTGCTTAATAAAAGAAACAGTTTAAATTTACGTCAAAGTCTCCAGAGTGCTCTCTACTTGGATTGTATATTATTTGGTTGGAGACAGCACTAAAGCAGTTAAAGACTGGGGGCATTGAGTGCTGGGACCTGGGATTTATATATGTAAATGGGCTGGTGGGCGAAAGGTAAAGGAAGGAGATGTATACACTTTTTCTGCTGTTCATTCTCTATGTATTTATTTATATTTTTGCTTTGAGTACACTTTCATGCAAATTTAAACCACTATGAGTAGGAAAACCACTCTGAGTTCTGTAGAATGTAGATACAAATTGTTATTTATATACATTGTATTTATTAACTCTGTTACATAAAAGCTAATAATTAATGTTATGCTAAGAGGGACACTGTGCATTAAGAGACAAAGGGTTTATTATACGGTGAACATACTACTGTTGATAGGTCCATGCAATACCCTTTTCGTTTTAGATTATTTTTGAAGTTTGTTTTGTTGGTTTTTATACCACATACCTGTAGCTTAAGGTTTAGACAAAATCATGCATTTGTTTAATTATAATATTTATCAGAACATTTTTTTCTAATATGTAGCTAATTTTAAGATTATGTGATTAGGGAAGGTCTTTTATTTATTTAATATCAAACATGCAAAGCTACATATAAAATGCTCGACTTGGACTTATTTTAAACAGTATGTTGTACTAGCTGTACTAGGACACTTTTAGTATGTGTGCTATATTCCTTCAAGAAACTAAGTGTTGCTGACAGTGGATATATATATATATATATATATATATATATATATTTATTTGAGATGAGGGAAAAAAAGCCATATAGAGAGTAAGTAATAAAGATAGGAGTAGCTTAGAGAAAGAGAGCAAGTCAGTTGTGGTGTGCCGGAACCAACGCTAGGGCCTGTAAATAAAAGAGGGCCCACCCTAGAGTTAAAAGAAAAAGAAAAAGCGGTTATGACTGAGTAGTGGGAGTGGCGGGAGGGACATGCAAATCGCTAGACCTAGAACGATGTGGAGCAAGGTAAGGAGTTCCTTTAAGTAGGGAAATCATGTCCCTCCCACATTACAGGCAAAAGCCTTAATACTTGTGTTAGGGGCAAAAAAAGCCATATAGAGAGTAATAAAAATAGAAGTAGCTTAAGAAAGAGAGCAAGTCGGTTGTAGCGTTCCTGAACTGAAGGGTGTGGTAGGGTCTGTAAATAAAACAGGGCATATTCATGCAATTTTAATACAGACAACAATATACATATAACTTATACATACATTTTCTGAAAGGCACAATGTATTTCTTGCACTGGTTGCAGAATGCACAGAGAATATATTGAGTACTTCCAATGCCCTTGGGTTTTAATTATGTGAACTGGTATTTTCATAGTTAAGGCTGTAGAAGCTGCCCCTATTCTATATATAGACTCTTATATCAGTTATTGTTCATGTTCCCTGAAGAAGTGAGTGCAGATTCACAAAACGTGTGGGAGCAGAACGATCACCACATTGCTCCTGAACTGACCCCAGTGAGGACCCATACTGGAATTCCATCTAAGGTGAGGCGCACAGCTGAAGAGCACTCCATAAACAGCGTCTAACATCCACACAGATCAGACGATTTTACACGAAGATTTTAGCATAGGCTTATTCTTCCCATTTGATTTTGTGAGTACATTGTATTGGGGGAAGGGGAAGAATCTATTTTGTATCCATAATGGTATTCTTATTTGATGCCAAATCATTGCACAGTTCTTAATAAACAATATTGCACAATAGAAGCACTTTTAAGGTCTTATCTACTAAATGCTCTACTAAACAGCCTATCAACTATAACAGGGCTCTCTGGGTCAGCTTATAAAATTGCAGATTTGTCTCTATTGCAGAATATTTAAACTGCTGTAACATAATTGAAGATGAATGCGCTATAAGTAATGGCCATATTTTTCATAAAGAGATTTCTCAAATGGCTCTGCATCCACCAATAACATGTCTATTAGCTTCATTTAGGATTGATTATGCCTCTGGCAGAGAATTAAGGAGGAAACTTGGCATTATCATGGTCACCTTTCGCACTATGTGTAAACAGACGGGTAAGGGTACTTTTTGAAGGTGAAGGTGTACCCTGAATTATATTTTTTTGTGGAGGGTTTTCTCATTAACATCTGGCTTTAATTAAGCTAATCAGTACAAAGAGAAATGGTGAGTGACCATGTTGAAGCCGAGAGCATGCTCCAAAGTTTTGGACTGCCCCCCAGCAGCTTGTGTTCCAGCCGGCTTCCTTAGCAACAGGAGTAGTGTACACAGGCAGTTGAATTAACATACCAACAAACAATTAAAACTGAAACATTTACATTTTATTTTCAAAGCTAAATTAATTTATTTCAAATTCTTCAAGAGGTCCTGGGAGTGCTATCATTTTGAGTTACTTTATCTTTATTTGCAGACCAACGCTGGGCATCACCACAACAGGACTCTAGGTTTTTGGCACTAATATATAAATATATATATATATATATATATATATATATATATATAGTTTTCTAACAAGGGTGGTTACATATATACAGAAAAAAAGCTACTGTGCTTTGCAGTTTATTAGCTATGTTCATACTTATATCTGTCAAGATGGTAATATACAAAAAGAAGAATTACTATCATTAAGTCTTTTGAGAAATACCTTGCTGATACTATTGTCCTTGTGTTTATGTTAAAATGTGCCATTTTTGGCACTTTCTGTTGTTTCTGTATGGCTAAAATGTTGTGTACTGAAACAAAGGTATTAAACATTAGGTGAAGAAACGGACGTTAACAATTTATCAAGTCTATATTTTACAGTTAAGCTATAATAAACCTTACAATATAAATCTGAAATCTTGCCTTTTGGCAAGTTACTGTCTCCCAATGTTCTTTGACTGTGACAAATTCATCAAAGCAGAACACGGCTTCAGGGATTCTTAATAATAACATAGCACAATGTTATCTGCTTGGCAAAAAAAGAGAGAGGGTTTATGACCCATTCCATTTAATTTAATTAAAATAAAAAATATATATTGAAAGAAGAATATGTTAAACAATGCTTTAACTTCTAACGTTCAAAACAACGTGACTTCACATTGAAGTCTGTCTCTTGTTAATAAATGATCTCTTCAAATATTTTTTAACCTACCACAATAATCATTGAGGGCCAAATTACGTTAATATACTAATTTGCACTATAAAGTTTGTAGGTCCAGAGAAAGCATAGGTAAACTGAAACACATTTAAAATCATTAATTTATTTTTATTAGGGGGTGGAGTCTGACCACCGAGCCGTGCAGACGCCTCTGCCACGAGCTCCGACCCGGCGAGTGAAACCCGGGGTAAAAGCGATGGCTAACAAGCCCACAAACATCAGAGGGTGCACTACCTATGTTGGGGGTGCCCCCCTGAGCACAACGATATCACCCCGGTACCTGTCAATGCCGGGAAAGCTGAGACCCAAATGCGGCCTACTGGGGCTGAAGCAGAGGGGAGACGGCCATTCTCCTCAGCACAAAAGCCCACAAGCGACTACACAACAGCCTACCCCTCCACACCCTGCACCGGTGGGGGACATCCCGGTCCCCACTGCTCACAGGGACCAGTATGGAGCAGGGGCTTACCAGCCACAAGAAATGATGGGGCAACGGACCCACGAGGTCCAGCCAAAATGGCCGCCCAACCCGAGCTGAGCAAGAGGAGCACCCACTCCAAGATGCACATGATCCCTATGGCAATATTCGACTGGATTTGCGCTGGTCTCAGGGTAGTGCTACAAAACTGAGGAGCGACCTACCGCCAAGCTGTCCAGATGGTAGCCTCATGGATATGACCAGCAATGCGACACAGGTACTACAAACAGGTACCCCGAGCAACCAAGATGGCCGTCAGGCAAAATAGACCCCGGAGGGCCTCGGGGCAGGATACGGCACTAGGCCTCTCGGACACACGCTCTCACCGGCGCATAAGCAAAGCCGGGACCCTAACTCCAGCGACGCACGCTACTAACGCACCTGACCTTATTCCTGGCTACCGGCAAAGCACCAAGTGCCTCTCCCCAACCAATACTGCGGTACGAGCGACTGTGAAACGGCACACCACAAAGAGACAACCTGAAGTTGACCCCCAAAATGAAAACACCGGGCCACGTGACCACTATCAAGGGACTCATAACAACAGCCCAAGGGTCCTGCCAACGCTGGGCATAGTCTGATGCGCCTATCAGACTGCTTCACAAGGGTGATTATACCTTGGTCCGTCCAGAATACACAATCCAGCTGAATACCCGGACCCTGAAGCATACTACAACCCTACAACAGACTATGTTCATACTTTCTCATGGACTGGCGGTAATATTAACACTGATGAAACCCGCTCCTGACGGTTCCTTACACAGTTAAATTTGACAAAACAGTTAATGCTCATGCTTAGACTAAGTAATAATTAACCAGCGAAGTATAATCTTAATGTTGGCGCTGCTTGTATGTTATGTCTTATATCTCTCAGCTAATCACACCTCAAAGCTAGCATAAAAAAGCAGGCAAATGTAATGTAACACCACCACATCAAACAGTCTAGCAGGAACATATCAGAATAATCTTATATGCACATTCACTGCACAAGCCATGCTTCCCTCTTTTGTCTCTCCTCTACCTATTGCTCCATGACTTGTGCATTATGTTAACATATTTAAAAACAAAAGTGAACCTAAACTACTGTACTATAGATTATATAAATACTATAAAAATGTGCCTGTATACCGAATACCATGACATGTAATACCGATATTTAACTATTCTACCAGATGTCGCTGTTGTGGTGCACATCCAAAATAAAGAATTTATAAAATATATATATATATATATATATATATATATTTTTTTTTTTTGTATTATTTATTTCTATTTGTTTTCATAATTAAAAAAGTGCAGTCATTGGGATTTACCAACAAAACTGGATATAGCAGAGAAATTGCAAATTCCAACATTCTTCTCTTTTTTCAGCTTTTAATAACATAAAATTTGCAATTCTCTGTGTAATTCTACAATATACTACTTTTTTTCTAGAATAAATCTCTTTACAATGGACAATTATTTATCATGTTAGGTATGCATTTAGTCATAAGTACATTTTGGTTATATTAATTATTTGTCAATGGAGTTGCAGAAATCTGTTCATTATTGTACTCTTATCAACATTTATTCCATGCTTTAGCATTATCTAAACACAAGAACTATTACATATTAATATAGTAGTTTTGTTAAAGGACCACTATAGTGCAAGGAAAATGTGCCAGGAAAACTAGTATGTTTTCCTGGCACTACAGTGCCCTGAGGGTGCCCCCACTCCCATGGTGCTGAGGGGGAGGGGTTAATTCCTTACCTCTTTTCCAGCACCGGGCTTACTCAACTCTGGGACTCTCCTCCTTCTTCTTCCGTCATTCTCAATGCTTTCCTATGGACGCTGGCGTCAATGAGACAGCCACTAGAGGCTGGATTAGCCCACAGGTAAACATAGCAGTTTCTCTGAAACAGCTATGTTTACAGCAAAAAGGATTAAACCTAGCTGAAGTGGTCTGGGTGAAGCTGAAGTGGTCTGGGTGCCTATAGTGGTCATTTAACCCCTTAAGGACCAAACTTCTGGAATAAAAGGGAATCATGACACGTCACACATGTCATGTGTCCTTAAGGGGTTAAGGAGATGCTGACCCTATTTTCTCACTATGTAAAACATAGCTATTTCTGAGGAACAGAAATGTTTACTTTTATGTCTTTACTGCCTACCAAACAGCCCATCACGGGCAGACTGAGGTCAAGAGCTAACTCTTTTTTCCCCAAATTACATATATGTTTAATTGTGTCTTACTTATAATCTTAAAAAAAAGGAACACATCTGACTAAAACATAAGTGCATATAGTTTTCATGTTAATTTGGTTAAATGTACCACAAGATAATAATAATGATGGTAATATTTAATTTTTTCATTTCAGGACAAGAAAGAATAAAGGAATCATAAAAATAAAATCATTAAAATTGTGCAAGACACAATAAATAAATATATAAATCACTGCAAAACATGAGGCCCCTAGCAATCAGCATGCACCCAACTAAGCCATTTTAATGCATAAGTGGAAGATGGAATTTGTCTGTCTTAAAAAACAATAAATATTGCATAACATGGTCAATTTTATACCCCTGAAGTAAAATCAAATGACTAATTTACTTCCTTTCTTTCTTTCTTTCCTCCTTTCCTTCTTTCTTTCTTTATTTCATTTCCCACAGTATCCAAATACAGGTCAGTTCAACATCACTATCTGTGTATGTAACATCAGCAGAATCTATATCTGTTAATTTCTCACTCTTGAGTCCAAAAAGACCATTCCTACTTCAGTGTCTTATAATATAACATGCAGAATATAAAATGCACCCATCTGTCAATGTCCCATATTGGAAGCTTTTTTTCATATCTGTCTATGTACTCATAGTCACTGAGTTAGATGAAGTATGAAAAGTATGAATTGGGGCACGAATTGGATTGGATTCCAATGTCTCTGTGTTCGCTGGCAATGTATGAAAATGTGTCACATTGAATAAAATAGGTTAGTTGATGTTTTTATGAATTCTTCACATGAACACAGGTAGCTAAATTACTAGTTTAAGCAATTGGACAAATAGACACAAAAAAAACCAAAGACATCTGCCAACGTGAAAATATTATGAGAACAATATTGTTAAAGAGCTTCAAAATATGGCATTTGAAATGTAGGATAGTGGACAAAAAAAGTATAAGTATAATCCTGTATCACTGTTATTTCTTAACTATGGTGCCTAACCAAAAAAAAAAAAAAGAAGCCTACATTTTGTTAAACTCTACAATTTGTAATGTACATATGTTTTGTAAATCTGAAATAAAAAAAATAATATTTGAAAGAACAATAGTGCTTGACCTATATAATTGCAAAAGGGTAACACTTTTTATTATTTTTGGGATACAGAAGGAAAAAAGGGAAGTGGGGTTAGCTGTTGGTACAATATCATAAGCTTCTCGACAATCTTGCATTTACATAATTCACACATTAAATTGATTTTAGTGCAGTAGGTATAGGTGTTAGGTACAGAAAACAAAAGGGTGGGGATAGGGGTGGATGGTCCACCATTTCTTGATTTCTGGACACATGGGGGGGTGTCTATCACCACCTGGAACTGCTGCCCCCTGCCTTTTCATGGGACTAGGTGTTTCCCCTGACTGCACAGCCTTCTGTCTCCCCTTGTGGTTAAAGCCTTAACTTTGGCTGGCCTGTGCCTGCATTCTCTGGTGGTTGGTTATATCTGCTTGGCCTAACCATCATGTGCCAGGAGGGTGGGGGAGGCCTAACAGACTAGCCAGTTGGTTATTTGCCCTGTCTGTGTCAAACTGCTAGGCATCAACTCCTGCCTGCGTGTAGCTTAGATACTGGCGGTCTATTGACCTGGAAACTAGCCCTATGGTTTCAGAAGTTTGGTATGCTCAAGTGATCTTCTGAGATTAGGTCGCATCTTAAGCTGAGTGTAGTAAAGATGAAAGTAGGAAGATGCATTCTCTTTTTTAGTAGTTCACCATTGACTAAAGAGAAGGGGTTGGGATATAACTGGGATTAAAAATAATGTCCTATTATTGCTTTGCAATTACTAACCTGATGTCCGTGTGCTGACCTCTTAAATACACTGCCCGCAGCTCTTTCGCTTTAGTACTGTCATTACCCATTTTTGTTTGATTCCATAATATCACCTCATATTCAAGAATGGTGGAGATCAACACAACAGCTTCCGCCGTTGAGAGGATCAATTGGGTTTTCCACTTTTTCGCTAGCAATGTGGAAGCTGAAGTAAGTGTGAGGAAAATTAGTTTGTCTATACATTTAGGTATGCCCACTGGCATCAGTTTGAGCAGCAGGGTTTCAACCCTGTGTTCTAGTGTGTACCCTGTCGCTCCCCTAATCAGGTCTGTAATTTGTTTCCAATACACCTATACCATGTCACATGACCACCATATGTGGCGCATTGTCCTTCCTGTGTCAAACATCTCCAGCATCTATCGCTCGTGTACCATGTACCATCTGTACATTAGCTTCCGTCAGGCTTCTAAGTGAGATGCACATGTGGTGAGGCCTTTGAGTGTCGTTTATATGTTATTCCATTCATCCTGTGTAAGGGATTTGCCTAGGTCTTTGTGCTACTTGGACATGAAGTGCCATGTAGGTTCTACCGTGTATGCATTGGTAAGTTTTTAGCAAACCGACAATGTTTTCCGTATTGGTATTCGGTGAAGGCACATTTTCTCAAAATGTGTGAGGGTTGTGTTGAATGTGGGGTGGGGATCCATCACTGTGGATTTGGTTAAGAGTGCTTTTAATTGCCAGTACGAGAATGTGAGAGTTGGAGGGATGCTGTGTGATGTCTGTAGTTCAGTTAGTGTGCATGGGCCCTGTTGTGTGCAAAGTTGATGGAAATGAGTTAATGCATATTTCTTCCACGTGTGGTGTGGGAATGTCTCATTGCACATACTGATTGATTGTAATGGCGTTGCCAGATACCAGGGCTTGGATGAGCAGAATGTGTCCCTGTGTCTGTCCCAAATGTTTATCATTAATGTGGTGATGGGTAGGGGGCCCAGTGATATGTGTCTCATATGTTTTGGTATCCATATTTCTGCTGGAAAGTTCGTCACCCCGCTACAATGAGCTTCAATTGTAACCTATTGAGGCATGTACAAGTCTGAGTGCATGGTGAGTATATTTGCTACATGCATTGCTTGTAGGTTAGGGAATCCAAGTACCCACTTTTCTGACGGCCTCGTAAGCAATGTATGTGGGACTCTGGGAAGTCCCCCCCCCAACTGAATCTGATCAAAAAGAGTAACACTTTTAAAGTATTCACATAGCATTATTTTTTAAAATTCATATGACCAGGTATATGCAAAATATTCCCAATTTATCTTATCCAAGCCATAGTTTGATAAGAGAAAGGAATATAAGCATTTTAGTTGAGTAAGTTAAAACATTTTAGGTAAAGGAAAAGTGACTTACAAGATCCATTATAAAAAGTGGCAGTATTTAAAGTTATTACAAGCTACTTAGTACCTTTTGGAAGGACACACGAATGGTGACCATTTCTTTAAAAATGATTTGCTTCTATGTTCAAGACTTTGTGTTAAATATAGTTGCTCTTTCTGCA